AAGTGTGATTTACAGTTTAAAAAAAAAAAGAAAGTGAAGAAACTATGAAACGGTTGCTTCGGAAGATCAAGGACTACAGTCTTCAGTATGGATTACAGCTCAACATCAATAGGACAAAGATCTTTAACACAGGACCAACAATCAGCGTTATGATAGAGGAAATATTGAAGCTGTGAATGTTTTCATCTTGCTGGGATTAATAATCAACACCTGTGTTGCCAGCAGTTAGCAAATCAGGAGACGTATTGCATTGGACAGGTCTGCTGTCAGGTACCTCTCTTAGTGAAGAACAGTGATGTTAGTTTGAGGACTAAGGTGCATCTGATGCAGGACAAGGTCTTCTCAGTTATCTACTATGCCTCAGAGACCTGGACAGTGAACAAGGATGATAGAAGAAGAATTGATGTCTTTGGTACTGGAGAAGAGTACTGAATGTCCTATGAACTGCCAAAAGAACAAATATATGTATTAGAAAGGGTGTCGTCAGAGTGCTGGAGGCAAGGATGATGAAGCTTTGTCTTTGATTGTTTTTTTTTTTTGGCAAATAGCTAAGCAAGGCTATTCCTTGGAAAGGGACATTATTCTTGGAAGGTTGGAGGGTCAGCAAAAGAGAAGAAGGATGCCCCTCCCCCAAATGAGATAGATTGACACTGTGACTTCAGCAATGCATTCTAGTGTTTTAGAGATGGAGAAGATGGCACAAGATAAGTTTTAGTTTGGCTGTTAATAGGGTCACTATGAGTTGTACATGATGAAACCCAACACCACTACCACATAAGTATTTGAATAGTAGTTATTTTTGCAAATCTTCCTTGTATCCATATGGATACTAGCCTATGACTTAATAGTATTTTACTGAAGTTGCGTCATCTCTAGTGTCTTGTCTGGCATGCATGTGTTGTCCCAGTGGCCAGTAGAGAGATGCACATCAAAACAAAAATGAGCTATCACTTCACCGCAGAAACAAAAACAAAGTACAACAGGCAACAAACAACAACATGCTGTTGAGGTTGTGGTGAGATTGTAACAGTCATACATTGCTGGTGGAATAATTGTAAAATGGTGCAACCACTGTGGAGGGCAGTCTGATATTTCCTTAAAAAGCTGAAAATATACTAACAGTGGAACTACTGGGTCATAAGGAATTTCTGTGTTTAGCTTTTTGAGGAAATGCCAAACTGACTTCCAGAGTGGTGGTACCAATTTACAATCCTGCCAGGAGTGAATGAGAGTTCCAGTCTCTCTACATTCTCTTCAACATTTATTGCTCATATTACTCTGGAGATGAAAAGGGGAGAAAAAATGGAGTTGCTTTCATAGTTAAAAAATAATTTCTATTATCTGTCTTGAAGTACAGCATTGTGAGTGACAGGATAGTATCCATACACTTACAAGGAAGTCTAGTGAATACCACTATCATTCAGATATATATGCACCAACAACCAGAGCCAAAGAAGAAGAAATAGATGATTTCTACCAACTTTTACAGTCAGAGATCGATCGAACATGCAATCAAAATGCATTGATAATAATGGGTGACTGCAATGCAAAAGTTGGAAACAGAGAAGAAGAATCAGTAGTTGGAAAACTTGGACTCGGTGACAGAAATGAAGCTGGAGATCGAATGATTGAATTTTGCACAACCAGTGCCTTATGCATTGCAAATACATTTTATAAGAAACAAATGCAGATTATACATAGGGATTTCACTGGATGGTATGCATAGGAATCAGATTGATTACGTCTGTGGAAAGAACCGCTGGAGAAGCTCAGTATCAGCTGTGAAAACTAGGCCAGGAGGTGATTGTCGAACAGACCACCACCTGCTCATACGCAAGTTCAAGCTGAAGCTGAGGGAAATTAAACCGAATCCACGGGAACCAAAATAAGACTTTGAGTTCATCCCACCTGAATTTCAGAAACATCTCAGGAACAGGTTTGAGACCTTGAACACTAATGAGCGAAGACCT